GGTTGATCTCACAGAAGGAATTCATGCTTGTAAGTCTTGTTCAAACAATACAATATAAAGGCTGTGTTAACCATTAAATGCTCCTTGTGCATTGAATAATTAAGTTCATCTAACAGATACACAACTAGTGCAAAACCACAACAAATAAACTTTAGCATGAAGAAGAAAGCAATACAGTAATTATTTTTGGAATAAATATCTTCAGGATTTTTGAAATGTACAATAACATCTGTTTTTGATCTCTTTGTCAAATCAACTTCTGAAGCTTGGTACCCTCTACGAACTTAAAAGGCTGTCAGCATTTAGGATGGATAATTTTATTTGGTCCATATTTTTAAGCAAAACATCCTATTTTTGCATCTCATAAGCTAATATGTGATCAGAACATATTTATTCCACAGAACGCAAATTCAACTTGAAACTCATACAAAGATGGATGTATTAGAAAAAACTCCACGCAAAAGTTGCAGGCTAATGTCAAAACTGGATGTAATAGAGCCTCAACACGTGTCAGATTACATTATAACACTAAATTGTACCTACTCAAACTGTGACAGATAGCATTAATATTTGACATCCTACTGTCTTTCAAAGTTACGTGAATAATTCTCTCTAATTTCAATTGTGTGGAGAAGGATAAACTTTAGATTGCATCCATCGGTGCCTAGCAGGGGTGGGTTCTAAATTTTTTTACTACCGGTTCTGTGGGCGTGGCTTATTTTATGGGTGTGGCTTGGAGGTCATGTGACTAGATGGGCGTGGCTAGCTGGTCAGTCATTTCTGGAAGGTCCTCGCACTTACGACCAGTCCTCGCACTTACGACCTGACTCATTTGTTTGCTTTTAACACTGATCAGCTGTAGGACAGCGCTTTGAAGCCCAGCCACAAGAGTTTAAACAGTTTTTTTCCCTCTAGTCATCAGCTGGGACTCAGGAGGCAGCAATAGATTGGGGGTGGGACCAAATAAAAGGTAAGAATAACGTGGGTGGGTGGGAGGGCGGGGGGGGAGAACCGGTTCGGTGACGTCATATCGTCACTGCTACCGGCTCGGCCAAACGGGACCGAACCGGGAGGAACCCACCACTGGTGCCTAGGGATTAGGAGAGTGCATTTATGCCTGCCTAAAATGCATAATATTCTAGAAATTACCCTGAATTTATGAGAGATTTTGGGGAACCAATAACGCTGCAGTGAGTAGGAAGCTGATAACCTGCTGAAATGTAAACCATTTGCTATTAGCACAAAAATACACAAAAGAAGATATAAGAAGATATGAGCTCCAGGGCATACAACCCCTGGAGCATATCTAAACTCCTGAGGGTCATTTTATATTCCTCAAACCAGACCTTCATTCATAAAAGTTCTAATCTATTTGATAAATGATACATTATATCAACAACGGCAGCATAAACTGTAAAGCTATGGTGTTGCAGTCACCACTCTATATTTTTATAGACTTGTTTTATCGAAAACATTATATTCTTGTACAACATTCAATAACATCGGACATTTCCAGTAGCACTGCAAATCACAGAAGCACATCCTCAGACATGATTCTGCAAACATAAATTCAGTTTCCAAGCTCTTGATGAATCCAATTAATGGTGTTCCACCAGCATGATAATCAATTCCAAAAGCTGTTCTAAAAAATGAATTAGAAATGGATCACTGGATGTTTTGTAACATATTGGCAGGGTTTCTTATGCTCAAATGCTAATCATCAAAAGTCTCCCAGTTCTCTGCCCTCTCCTCCGATTGGCAGTAATTGTGAATATCCTTGATCTGCAGTAACTCATACGTAACTTGGCACAGTGTATATTAAATGGAATGCAATCAATGAATGAATGAGTTCACCCCCTTAGCCAGAGCTCGCCCCCTAATTCTGTACCTAATTCTAACTGTTTACAAGACTGAAGCAAATCCTGCAAACCAAAAATCTGTCCAAATCTGACAAACACCCAGCACGCATTGCTCTTAACTATTATCCTACCCACAAACCTTCCAAGCTACCGTATTTTTCGGAGTATAAGACACACCTTTTTCCCCTCTAAAAGGGGTGAAAATTTAGGTGCATTTTATACACAAATGTAGCCCCGCCCACCCACTGGCCCCCACCCTTTAGCCTGTGCCTCCCAGCAATTTACCTCCTTGCAAGCAAACAGCAAGAAAAACAGCTCCTTTCAGCTTCAGCACAGCCTAATTAGCACAAGTTGATTGGATCGGCCTCCCGACTCTCAGTTGATTTGCTCTCAGCTGTTTTGCACAGGGCTGTGCTGCTTGCTGCAAGGAGGTAAATTGCTGCAGCAGATTTTTTTTTTCCTTGTGCTAAGCAAGCTATGCTGAAAATGAAAATGAAAATAAAACAGGCTGTTGGCTGTTTGCTGCAATGAGGCAGAATTGCTCAGAGGCAGAGAGAGATTTCTTTTTCTTCTTTTCCTCACCAAAAAAGGTAGGTGTGTCTTATACTCCAAAAAATAAGGTAATCAAGTAGATGTAATGACTGCAAGCATCTGAATTACTTCATTTGACTTCAAAATATGAATCACCTTCACTGGACAGAACCTTTTTTTTAATATGCTGTCAGATGGTAATGAACAGGTGGTATGATGCCAGTTTTGTAATAGCTCCCTTAAATCTGTCATATGAGAGATGGTAGAGCACAAAGAGCTTTTGAGAAATAGGGCTTGAACATATATCCTCAAAGTATTTTATTTTAATAGCTCATCCTCAGGTCCCGTGTCACAAAGAGGTTGTGGTAGCCGCTGAAAAAAGATATGGCATCCCACTGCTTTTATTTCACCGTTGCGGCAGCCGAAGTCAGCTTCATGTGTTCTGGAATGAACGAGTATTTCCCCTCTTATCTTAATGCAGGTCTTCCCCACCAGACAATGTAAAGGAAATGGAGAAGGAGCCTTGAGTTATGTGGTCAAGGTTGAGGACTACCTTTGGCTCCATTTGGCCTGGTGGAACCGCTATGGGACTATTCCCCCCTGTATAGAATAGGAGCCCCCTGTACAGTGGGGAATAGGCGTAGCAGACTAAAACACTGTTAAGTAATACCATCTGCCTGCAATTACTGCAAGTTCAAATCTCACCAGGCTCAAGGTTGACTCAGCCTTCCATCCTTTCGAGGTAGGTAAAATGAGGACCCGGTTTGTGGGGGCAATAAGCTGACTTTGTATAAAAAAGAACACCGCTTTGGGGGGGGGGCGAAAGCCCTACTAAGCAGGTATATACAAAAGTATGAAGGCTATTGCTTAATGCATTGTAAGCCGCCCTGAGTTTCTGGAAAAGGGTGGCATATAAATCGAACCAAATAAATAAATAAATAATACAGTCACTGAGCATTGAGTCTCCATGGCCATTTAGCTGTGAGAAAGACATTTTCTTTATTTACTTAATTTATATGCCACCCATCTCACAATCATGTAGATCTGGGTTCAAATTGTTGGTCCAAATTGACTTCTTCTTTTTTTTTACTTTTCTGGAAGACTGACATGCAGACGGCTATTCCTGTGAAACTAATTCGCCGATGCTATCATTTGCAGGTTATTTGGACTGCTGCAAGTTGAAATTCTGATTTCTGTAAATAGGCTTTGAACGTAAGAAAACACAAGAGGTAAAATTATAACGCTAAATAAATAAACAAATAAGCATTATCTAAGGCAATCCAAAAGATACTGCCGGGCTCAAGCCTAGCGATGAGACAGTCAGAACCAATCGGGTTCAATTCTTTATTTGCTTGCACCTACTGGACAGAATCGTTCAAATCCTAAAACTCTAACCTACTGGATACATCCTGAGAGATTCTAGGGTGGGGCTACCCCAAACCTCTTCCCCCCACTCCAGCTTGGAACTGCGTCTCTTTCTGGGAAAGCTTTGAGTTGACCAACTCCCCCTCAGTTACTGCAGGTGCACATTCCATCAGATGCTAAGCTACGGTTGTGAATAAGCATCAATTCTTGTATTTTCAAGGATTAATCTTTAAAAACAAAGATTCATCCTACTGTGATTTGTTCTTTTCAGGGGGGAAAAATACTGTCAGATGCCAAGAGGAACTGCTTTCCCCAGGCTGATATGAAGTCTCACATTATTCTTGGATAATCCGATATAAGGAATCATTCATTTACTGAAAGCATACACTTTTGATGTTTGATAAAACTTCACATCCAATGCTGATAAATATTTAAAAATGGCAAAATGGAATTCGGGATAGAATTTGCAGCTTTACCTAGATTAATTACATGTGTAATTTTTATGGCAATTAGCATCTGTTTAAATCATTAAGGTAGGCCTCTATGAGGAAATGCACATGTAAATGAAGTCTAGTAGTTCAGGTTTATGCAGGTGTATTCATAACATCAAAGGTGCTTACTCTCACATTAAATGTGCAAAAAATCTACCTGTACAATATATGACTCTGCTCTGAATGTTGTGTTTTGATTTTTCCTTATATCACTGATCTCAGCTTGTGGTCCAAGAGCTGTTACTAGTCCACATTTATACAGCAGGTTTCTAATGACAATGCTCAATATAATAAATAACCCTAATCTAAATTGGAAGATTTGGGCATCCTCCTTCCACACCACACAAGATTTCAATATCTACACCCAACGTTTCACATACACTTCACAAGCAGAAACACAAACATCTCATGAAATTTAGGGTACTGAACTTTCGGAGTGGGTGTTATTTGCACTGCCAGCTCCTACCTGGTAGTAGATCTCAAAGGGGTCTGATGGTGTTGTGCTCTACATAAAAATTGGGAACTCCTACCTGAAATGATCTTTACTGCATGAAACACTGTTTATGGTAAAACATTTTGTATGCATTTGTTTCTCACCGAGTACAAATATATGCTAGCTTTCAAAGATTAAATCCCTTTCCATTAAACTCTAGAAAGAAGGGATGGAATTACTCGGGGGGGGGGATTGTGGGGGGGGATTAACACCCATTCAAATATTTGAAACAAAACATATTAATATGGGATATACACTTACATTCACCAGACAGATGAGCCGCCAAGTTAAAATAACTTTAACAAGGTTCTGCAGCCTTAACGTAGCGCAAAGCTTGCATCGGTGACCCAAAACTGGCTTAAACCCAAGTACTTCATCTGTGCTCTCGTACATGCGAACAGTAAACCCGATCGTTCGTCTCTAGCGATTTCCAACGGACTATCAATAAAGCATACACACATACAGGAACACAACCGCGTGTTAAGGACCCACCCTTTTAAACTTTAAACCTCTGAGTCTTTTTTTTTTTTTCCTCCCAGTTTCCAGACCCGCGCTAATTCCTTATCCGGGCTTTGAATAATGTTCTGCAGTCACTGAGCAAAGAAAAGTTTTTTTTTTCTTTTTTAACTTTTAAAACGCCGATCGGTTTTAAAAAAAAAAGGAAAAGAGGAGAGAGTATTCCTCGCGTAAACGCATCTTGCTGCTGTGATCGGCAGCGTCAAACTTGCCCCGGGAAAGCGAGCCTTTCTCTTTCCCGAACCTTTTTAAACCTCGCCCGGGGGGGGCAGAGCCCTTGGGCCATCATCTCTTGCCAGTGACACTATTAGAAGCAGGAAGCCAATGCCCAGCAGAAGAAAGGAAGCGCCCGCTCTTGAGCAGAGCCTTGGACGTGCCAACTATGCCCCCGAAGGCAAAAATAATTTTTTTAAAAAAAAAAAATCATCTGTTGCTGCAGATCGCGCTGGGAACGCAGCGCTCCACAAAGCCTAGTCCGGGGTTCAACGCCGAGCGCCCCCACATCCTTCACCCTCCTCTGCTCTCAGGCTGGTTACCAAAAAAAAAAAAGAGGAAAAGGGAGCCACGCGACGAGAAAGAACGTGCGATCGCCGGACAGCAGCCCTTTACTCACCGGCTCAACGCCCCAGACCCCTTTGCCTCCGGCCGGCCGGCCCGCCAGCCCGCCTGCCTGCCTGCCACCCTTTCCCACGAGCGTACAATGCAGCGAGGCTGGCGGCGTGCACTGCAGTCCTGCCCGGGAACGCTCAGCCTCCCAGACACTTCCCAGCCAACCAATCAGGAAGGCCCGACTCCACGCTAAATTCTTGGGCTGCTTTGCCATTGGCCGGCCAATTAAGCGAGGCTCGGCGGAGGCGAAGGCGCTGAGAGGAGCAACTGAGGGGCTCCACGCTCCTCGAGTTGAGGACCGAGGAGTGAGGCGAGAGGTTGGGTCTGCTGGGCGGGCGGTGAGTCTTGGTCAGCTTGGAGCCGGACAGTCGAAGCCGCGAGGTGGCGGGGGGAAGCATAACCCCCTCCGACGGCTGGTGCCGCCGCTCCGAATCTCTCGAAAGGTTCCTTGGGCATCTATAGGGAGGGGAAAAGGGGGTCTAATTCAGACCTTGGCATCCCATGCCCAGCCTACAGAGTGCGAATCTCCGCCGCCGTTACTACCACCCATTTTTTTTAGTATCTGAATCGAGACCAATCTCCCGCGCACGGGGTTGGGGGGGCTTGGGGTGGAGGCTTGTCCAGGACTACACGACCTCAAACGGCGACGAGATGGGGCTTCAGGGAGTGGGGCTGGGGGTCGCGGAAGGGAAACACCCCCCCCCCCGCTTCCCCCAACCCATCAGGCTTGGAAGACAAAAATATAGGCAAGACAAAAATAGAGAAGAGCTGATACTGAAAGCTGAAGGCAAAAATATGGAGAGCTGAGACTGGAGCAACCTAAAGTTAGCTCTATTTGCTGTGGCATCCTGTGGCGCATCGTTTCTTGCTCCTCTTTGCATCGTGTCACTTACTCCCGAAAAAGGAATAAATAGATGTTGGTGCGCTAAGCCCTGAAGAACACTAGTATATAGGAAGGAAGGCTGCAGATCTTTAAACTGCGCTTAGCACATCTGCCAACATCTGCCTCGGGGCAGTCCTGTTGTAGTGACCCTACTCGCTGCTCGAAAACCAGCAAGCGGCCATCATTGGTAAAAGGGCCCCTGCCTTCTGGAATAGCCAGCAGGTGAGCAAACAGAGCAGCTGATGGCTGTCCCTAATAGCCCTCTCCCTTCTGGACACGGCAGCTTGCAGCTGGTGGTGGGGCTTGGTTGGTGCTGCTCAGCTGCCTTTTTGAATTCATTTTGCTTCCTGCTTCCATCGTTCATCTGCCAAGCAGCAGGACTAGAATAGAAAGGACCTTCCTGTTCCGTTCTGTATCTCTTTTTTATTCTAGAATGGATAGTGCAGAGAGGAAGGATTCAAAAAAAAAAAAAAAGTGGGGAAACACACACACATCGACAATCCACTTTTATTCTAGGAATTTTTCCACTTTTATTCTACGAATACAGGTCAGGCCTGGATTTGTGGAGAAGGAGACGCAAAGGAGGAGGACTGGGCCATCAAGAATATGGAACTTTCTGCTTTGAAAGAGGCCATTTGTCCCTTTGCCCAGCTCAAGTATCACAGCTTATAGTCTGGTTGCTTACAGATCTCTCTCTCTCCTGTGGTTTCTACCTGTCCTATCTGGTCAGGCAGAAGAGGCATGCATGTTCCAAGTCTGTCCAACAGTTAGGAAAATCTTTCCTATCATGGCAACCCCCCACCCTTTGGAATAACATCCCAAGGCAGATCAGAAGTCCTGGCTAGTCTTTCACAAGGGCCAAAAGGCTTGGATCTGTGCTAGAGCCTGGGGCCCTAGATGCAGTGGTGGGTTGCCCCCGGTTCGCGCCGGTTCTATAGAACCAGTAGTAAAACCGGCAGGAAGCTCCGCCCACCGACTCTGATGTAATCAAAATGCTTCTGCGCATGCGCAGAACCCACCCCTGCCTAGATGTATGTGTAGGGGAGCCCAGAATCATATGTATGAGATGGATGGCTGTATAAATCTATTAAATAAATAATAAAGTCTCCTTTGAGTCCATTACAGACACGTTTTACTATTGATTTCTTTTCAAGTTGTGTTTCCAGCATTCCAGTCTGACTTAGGATTTCATGGTGATATCTTCTCCAAGCACTAACTAAATCCCATCTTTCAAAGCCAGCCTGATCCACCAGCTTCTGATGTATTAGATTGGCTGGTTAAACATGTCTTGCCTTTTGCTGGACATGTTTTTTTTTTTCTTTTATTAAAAAGGGCAGAAAGATCTAATTTTTGCTGGAACATGAGACTGGTTTAATCTTTTTTCTCTCTCTCTTCCACAATGATCTCGACAAGTCTCTTTACCTCTACCATTCACAGGCCTACTGGTAACCTTGAAAGGGTGACTTTCATGGCTACCGCATCTATTAGAATTCTAGGAAGCTGACAAATCCAACCACTTTTTTAATCCAACCCAGACATGAGGACGTCAAATGAGATTGGTTGCAGAACAACGAAGCCCATGCTACTTGAGAATGGTGTCGTTGGGAACCACTTTGTGTTATCTGGTTGGAATAGTGCAGGGGTGTCAAACTTGATTTCATTGAGGGCCGCATCAAGGTTGTGTTTGACCTTGGGAAGCTAGGATGGGCGTGGCTAGGGTGGGCATGGCCAGCTCAACGTCACTTGGGTCGGGGGCGCCTGTGGTGCCCTGAACCCTCTGCCAGCAAAAACAGCTTACGCAGCCCTCCCAAGCTCTGTTTTTGCTGGCAGAGGATTGCAGGAGACGGTTGCAGCTGAAAACAAAGCTCCGTTTTCGCTTGCCGGAGGCACAGCGGGCCGGTCCTTCTCTGTTTCCAGGGCAGCCCCACGGGCCAGATCTAAGTACCCTGCGGGCCGAATCTGGCCTTGGGTTTGACACTCCTGGAATAGTGTGTAATTTTTTTATTTTTTAAAAATGTGTGTGTGTGTGTCTTCGGTACTTATAATGTATTTTCATTCCTGTTAGTTGATCACAGTAGCTTTGGTGAGATGGACAGGGATCTAAAGCTAAATAATGTTCCCTAGCCACACCTGAAGAAACCGGGAGATTGTGAGTTCTAATCCTGCATTAGGCACAAAGGAAGCTTGTTGACCACTCTCTCTCAGCCCTAGGACAGATCAAGAGCAATTCCCTTCTAAGATCTTGCAAAGAAAAACTTGTCCAGGTAGTTGCCACCAGTAAACATTGACTCAAAGGTGTACCCACAGACCCATACACACACCCCTGAGGATGCATGAGGACCCATGACCCTTTGATGCAAGTGTGTACTACAAAGCTGTGCCTCTCTGTAGCCAGATTGTAGAGCTGGTTAAGTTAGCCTGCTTGAAGCAGATCTTAGTGTCACATTGACCAGCATTCAACTGGGATGGCTTAGCATAATATTTTTTTTTATCATCTTCAGAGGGTGAGCATTTGGATTCAACTTTCCAAATGCCTTGGGCCTCATTTCAGTCTTTAAACCAAAAGTGAACCATCCCCTGCTTCTAAATTAATGTTTAGGGACTCTCAGATCAGCGAATAATTGAAAAACGGCCCAATAATGTTCTGCTGCATTTTGTCTGGGGAAAAATGTGCTGTTTTGTTTTAGGCTTAAGATACCCGCAGGCCATATCCCTACTTTCACCTAACAGTGGCATAAACACCATTGGCAACATCTTATTTTCTGCCATATTGCCATTATATGTTCCTTCGTCGTGTTTCTATCCCATGAGTGAGACAGACTTAAGTCCTCCTTAGCTGTAAAGGGATTAAAGTGATGTTTTCTCCCTTTAGCTGCTACCATCCAAGCGTAAAATCTATTATTTAGGATTTGTACCTCTGAGCCTTCTTTACTACATGTGGTGATTTGTGCCATTCTACTGCTACACTATTTCAGACTGGTGAAACAGAAATATTTCAGACTTGTATGAATGTTGAGAAAATGTTTTCTCAAGATAGTTCTCCCAATCATGCTTCAGACCTCCCTCCCTCCCTCCCTCCCTCCCTCCCTCCTTCCCCTTCCCTCCCCCCTCTCTCTCACAGACACACACACACACACACACACACAGAAGAACTAAGGAAGAAAAGCTTCATTGCACAAGCAAACATCCACTTGCATCTCAGAGGATTCATTATAACAGCAATTACTGTTCCCATCAAGTTTAATATTTCTCTTTCTGCAGTGGTGTGCAACTTTGTTCAGGCTGGAAGCTGCCATTGGCCTCAGAATGGAATGATGGTGCCTCATTCCTAAAAAGAAAATCAGATTTAACACTACTAAATTAAGCTTAGCAGTGTATATTTATTATTATTGCTCCTCATATCAAAAGCTACATGTCACAGGCCTCTTTAGGCTTCCCTGAGGGCTAATCCAGAGCAGTTAGAGATCCTGTACAGGCCATTGGGCTTCAGTGGGCATTACAGGTAGTCCTTGACTTAAAACAGTTCATTTAGTGACCATTCAAAGTTAAAACATCGCTGAAAAAAAGTGACCTATGATTGTTCTTCGCACTTAGAACCGTTGCAGCTTCCCCATGGTCAGATGATCAACATCAGGTCAGATGCAAGTCAGATGCTCGACAAGTGATTCATATTTATGATGCTTACAGTGTCCCTGGGATCATGTGATTGTCTTTTATGACTTTCTAATAAGTAAAGTCAATGGAGAAGCCAGATTCACTTAACATCCATGTTTCTAACTTAGCAACCGCAGTGATTCACTGTGGCAAGAAAGGTCGTAAAATGGGACAAAATTCACTTAATTGTCTTGCTTAGCCACATAAATTTTGGGCTCAATTACGGTCGTAAGTCGAGGGCTGCCTGTATTGTATTAGTGGCCATTTTAAGTTCTTTCGTAGTCCACGCTAGCAATTTGGACTTAGCTCAAAACACTCAACATTTCGAAACATTTACATTGCAAGTAAGAACTTGTGTTAATTTATCTCCACACTGGGCCCTGACACCAATGTTGCACACACTTTTTTTTTCTTACTAGCTAAGAACTGAAATCCTGCTCATTTTTTTTTTTCCAGATTTGCATGAAATGCTTTTTGTCAAATCCCGAGACAGCTGTGGTTAAACAAAAATAGTTTAAATCAATTCAGGCAGCAGCT